AACTGTTCTGGAACAGTGTTGTAAATACAACTTAACCACTGATTTCTAGTCGTGTCTCGCTTTCGCAACGAAACACACAGCGTCTTCACAACATGGCGGCGGTGGCAGCAACAATAAAGTTATGCGGCGCCTTCTTTCTTTGCGCGAACATTTGGGCGGCGTTATGCAAATCTTCCCACATCATGACGTAGACGTGGGGGTGTGTTAGAATTAGCCGTTTTTTAGGAGGGCGTGGACCAGTCTTAACTTTTATAAAGAATATCTCTTTGGGTTTGAGACTTTAGTCTTTGCAACTTTAGGGATCTTATCTATTCACGAACAGCTTGTAACACTCCAAAGAGAAAGGAAAACTTGAAATCGCATCATATGACCCCTTTAAACAAATAAGACTGCACTATGACATGGCAGCCTAGCACAAAACAGAAACCAGGCAGTGGAGAAAATGTCCTCATCACTGCTTGTTAGGGAAAAAAGAAATAGCTTTTATCGATTGTTGCTTTTGGATAGGACACAGTGTATAGAGTGATGTGGGTGATTGACAGCAGCCAGTGACCAGTACCTTCTACTCAGTTTAGGTGTGCCCACATCAAGGAGTCTGAAAAACAGGACATACTTGCTCACTACATTGACACAAAGTGACCACACTGATATTAAAATCTTGGGTGATATGATAAGTCATGTTATGGCATTTGGTTTGTAAATGCTACAAATGAATTTAGACAACAACAATATAATGTACAGTTATAGTTAACGTACATTTTGAGATTTTATAAAGATTATATTTAACAGTGTCATTACACTTTTATTATTTAAAAGATTAACTTTAAATGAGTGGCAAAGGCATTCAAAATGTAAAAACAGAACAAGGTGGAAATAGAAGTTGAATTAATAGTTTTTCACAATCAGACACTAATAGCGTGGTCACATTAGAGAAATTGCAATGAAATTTTGCAGGCAGAAAAAAAAACAGTCCGTTGTCCATAGTCAGGAGAGCTTCATGCATTGCTTACTCTTCAAAGTTCACTTTCAAACCAAGCAGCTTTCTGTTGGTCAATGGCACAAAAACATGTAAACAATATGATCACAAGCTAAATCTGCATGGGGAACTTTTTCGCCCACATATGAAACTCTCCATTGCGCAGATATCTACTGCAATGGCTGGATTTTGCTGACAAAATTTCACCGAACAACATTAAATGTGACCACGCATTGAGACTGAAATAATAAAGAAACAGAGATTCATTGCTGCAGAAGCTTTCAAATAGGCACCTGTATCCATCTTCATCTAGCTGGTCCATGTTGTATGGGATGTCTTCACAGGGTGGGTAGATGCTGTCCAGCACATCTCCAGACTGCAGCCCATCACTGAGCCGGGGAACCACCGCAGACGAGCTCATATCTGAGGACACACAAGAGACCGTTTCAGACGGCATGTCCAGGAAATGAAAGGAACGATCACTCAGATGAATGAGATGGAGATGCAATACTCACTAAACTCCGGGTCCCTGCCAGAGGGGTCTGACGGTGAACTGTAAGGGGCACTGAAGGTGGGAGAGGTGATAAAACTCGGGCTCTGTAGGAGGTCTGAGCCCTCACTCGACTGACTGCCCCGCAGACGTCCACCCTCTATCAGCTCTGACCCGCCCAAAGCTGGCTGAGACATCTGCTTCTGAGGCCGATGCTTGTTGTCCCCGGCCCTCCCAGCTGCTCAGACACACACCAAACAAGATTTGCCATCAATATGAATCTTTCACCACCCAGAGGAAGGAAAGCAAAATGAGGGCATGTCTTCTGCTTTTAGAATTGCAAGCTTTCAGGCCTAACATTAACTACACTACCAAAAGTTTGTGGTCAATTTTTGTAATGTTTCTGAAAGTCTCTTAAGCTCACTAAGGCTTCATTTATTTGATCAAATGTAAAAAAGTAAAAAAAAAAAAGTAAAAAAGCCATGATACCCATTACTTTTTTCAGGATTCATTGATGAATAGAAATATCAAAAGAATAGCATTTATTTGATATCAAAATAAATGTGCTGTCACTTTTGATCAATACTTGCTAAATAAAAGTATTAATTTCTTTAAAAAAAATACTTATTGAACGGTAGCATATATTTGACTGCAGAATGAACATATTTTAACAAATAAATGTAGACAGAGTTTTAACATGTTAACTAAAAACAAAAACATTAAAAATGTAAAAACATCAAAGACAGTTTCATAGCTGGTAAAAAAATACATGTCCAGTAAATTTTTTCAAACCAGCCACAGGTTAATACTGGATCTGAATCCACAAAAAAAGTTCAAAGCTGTGTCTTCAGTAGCTGCAGGTTGTAGAACTTTACTTTAGACTTACACGGTACTGAATCGATGCGACTGGGCCACCGCGGGGGCACCCGGATGGGAAAGCGAGGCTTTTTCAGCTTCTCCTCCCCTTCCTTCTCCGTTTTGCTTTTCTGTTCAGGAAGGATAAAACAACAGTCCTCAGGGTAACGACACTGCCATGGGAAGACAGAGAAGATAATTGCTCTGTTCCAAAACCTAGTAAACTGCCTATAGAGGGAGCATTTCAAGACATTATAAGCGTGCTCCAGCCATGAAGGCAATATAATTATGCCACACTACATGTATCATTTACGTAACAGGATAAATTACACAGTACATACAAGATGAGAAAAATGTTCATTATAGACAGATTGCGTGGATCGTGTTTATTCACATGCATCAAATTAACGTGATTCCATTCGCTTCAATACAGCCACAAAATCTACCTGTGCAATGCAGTAAAATATTTAATTTATTTAAAAATGTAATTTCTTACATTTATTTTACAGCACAATAGTAATATATAATTTTATTTTGATTTTACAATTATTTTTACAATTATCTAACGAAAACCAAAAAATTACATCAATTTGTGAGTGCTATCTATTTTTTTTATTTATTAGATTAATATGCTAACACAAAACTATACTAATGTCAAAGTATTTTACAAAGAACATTCCAAATCAGTCAAATGAGTTTCCGTTAGAATGATCCCTCAGAAGGTAAGTACCTGTGTAGACAGGAAGTCAGGTTTTGGAACAGAGTTGTGGTAGAAATGTGAAAATGTGAGGTGGCAGTAAACAGTACAAGCATATACCCTTAGTTTGGAGGGAAGAAAATTAATTCGAACTCGTTTGGACTCCAGGTTTCGTTGCTCTTTCACCCGAACTCCCAGATGCTTCATATACATAAAGATCACATACTGTATGGCGTTGCTGGAAGAGACAAAACTATGTATTAGGGCTGAACTGAACTCTTTTTTTCACTCCCTGTCCAAGCTTAGTAACAACAGCACAGCGTTGAGCATCAAAGTCTTTAATTTCCTAATATAGATTTGAGTCTCTGAGGGTTGTGTTATGCCTGTTGAGTGCTGTTGGCTCCATGTGGCCAACTCCTGTTCCACATGACTCCTATTTTATAGTGCCTACTGCCATATGTCTCCAAACTCACGTGCACACGCGCACAAGTTCACCATCTATCTTCTCACATATGTCTCACATTCATAAATCATACAGGCTTGTGGTGTTTCCATATGGCATCTCAAATATGTTTGCCTACATTCTGGTAAATGAGGACTAGGAAATGCATGAAGATTAGAAATCTCATTAAGTCGCTCTGTTCTGCAGCATCTTGCATTTGTGTCAAGTGTCAATATGCTGGCGCACCCCAGGCTGACAATTTACAAACAAATCCAATGCAACGTCTTTATGCACAATCAAACAACCCTCATCCTTAATGTCTTTATTGTCGATCATTATGAATGAGGTTTGCCGGAAGAAAACATGAACAATTCTCACAATTTCTCCTCTTCTGCGGTTTGTGAAGTCAACCTGAAAGAGACAAATGTGTAAGATAGAGGACAGTCATTAAGCAAACAATCTTGAGTATTTTGAGTAGGGCTGGATGATACTTGGAATATATTTGGATATTTATGTCGTTTTTTCTGAAATGCATAAATAAAAGGGTTAAAAACACTGAGAACAATAAAGCTAAATAATTTTTTATTTAGTATAACAATTTCTCACTTTTTTCAGTCTATTGACAATATTAAATGTATATTTTGATGTGTATTTACTCTGAAATAGATAAATAAAAGCGCTAAAAGGGTGACAACAATATAATTTACATTTTATTTGAGAACAACATAGCTAAATTTTTATTTAACAATATAGCTAAATAATTTTTACATTTTTTAGTCTATTGACAATTTTAAATTTATATTTTAATATGTATGCATTTGCTTTGAAATGAAAAAGGGCTAAAAGGGTAATAAAGATATAGCTACATAATTTTTATTTAGCAATATAGCTACACTTCTCAATATTTTTTCAGTCTATTGAAGGGATTCAATTTAATTTTGATTTAGGTGTTTGAAATGCATAAATTTAACTTAAATAAAGGGTGCTAATACTTGATAAGAGTTTTTTTTAATATCCATTTTAAGATATTTTTTTCAACAGCCACTGAAACCAAGCAGAAGCAAACAAATACATAATTTTAATATCTATAAATAAATATCATTCATTTATCATTCATCAATTCTAACATTTTTGCAACTGAAGATTAAATCAGACATATTAATAGTTGTCCTACTGAGACTATGAAAGATTGCAAAACTAGTCTAATGTCATGAACTGAGGGAAACTTAATGGCCAAATAAAAATATATTGTTTTGTTTAATAGCATCAGCAAAATCACTGCAAATGTATCATTACTATTCAATATATCGTCCAGCCCTGATGTGGAGTGATTAACAGTGTGTGTGAGATTCTCACAGAACGTCATCTATCTTGGATAGGATGTTTTCAGCACATGATCTCTCTCTCTCTACAGCCAGCTGTTGAGAGTCCAGACGAGACAGCTCTACATCAGCCAGGGTCAAGCCCATACTGCGCTTCTGCCTGTAAGAGTGGATGCAGTTGTTCTGTAGGTGTTACTGTCAATCTGAAGGACTGCAATGTGGCAGCACAGGTTAGTGATGAAATGAAAATGTCTATACTCCTGACCTGAAGTCCTCCAAGTTTCTCTGTACATCTGGAAGGAGAGTTTCCTGCATTGTCTGTATATATTGCCTGTGTAATTCCTCTGGAATCAGCTCTGGTCTCCGCCGCTCTGAATACATGTACACACAAAAAATGTGGGTGGATACAGGCTTTTGCCTCAACTTGTCCACAGACCAAATAATACCAAGGCAGAGCAGACAATGACGGGTTTGAGCGAGAAGAGATGAGGTGTGAAAAGCTCCACTTACTGCCCCCCGGTCTATGAAGAACGTCAAGAAGTCCATGAATATCCGCCGTGTTTCTTTGGAGTTGGTCTGTTTGTAGAGGTCAGTGTACAGGTAGCAGAGCTGTGGAGGGAAGTTAGAAGCAGTGAGCGATAAATAGCAATTTGAGACAGATTTGTAAATTTGTTTGATTTAAATTTAAAACATTACTGATGATACAGATATGGTCACCAATAATCACTAAGTTTCAAATATTTGTGGTCAGGAGTTTTTAAAGAAATTAATACTATTATCCAGCAATGATACATTAAATTGATCAAAATTGACAGTAAAGACACTTATAAATGTCATAAAAGATTTATATTTCAAATAAATGACATTGAAATCACAATTTCACAAAAATATTAAGCAGCAGGGCTGGAAGATATGGCCAAAAAATCATATATTGGTATTTTTTTGGCTGAATTGCGATATACGGTGTGTGTATATATATTAGGGCTGCACGATTAATCGCATGCGATATTTAACGCGCATCTTGTCAGAAAGCCGGTTCTGTAATCAGGGAATCAGCTCTGGTCTCCGCCGCTCTGACAACATGTACACAAAAAAAAAAAAAAAAAAAAAAAAAGAAAGAAAAAGAAAAAAAAATTAGCACACACACATTTCATTGTTTTATATTAAAAAACTTTTCTAGCCCCTTACCCTCACAAAATCCTTTTCATATTTTTCCATTTTAATAAAAATTTTAGGGACCATTAGCTGATCCAAAAATCTAAGTGATATCAAGCTTTACTGCCTTTGTGACATAGACGTATATTAAGCTATCTAAATAGGGACACATATAATAGAGTTAAATAGTTTAATATAAAACTTATTTATAATTGCTTTATACAAACCAGAATCTTATTTAAAAGAAAACAAAAACATAAAAACAAAAAACAAAACCAAACAACAACAAAAATATTTGCATGATTTATAAATCAATTTTCAATTGAGGAAATCCTCAAATGTCCCCAAAGCACAATTTTCCCCCAAATTATAGCTAGGAACATACAACACAAAAATATTTCTCACAGATACACATTTGAACACACCCATACATGACTAGTAAACAACCTGCATGAACAGAAACAGCATCAGTACGCGTCACTAAACAGGTTGCCTTTTTAAGAAATGTCAACATGACACACGGGCAGAGTGACCAAGCGCTTCAGAAGCTAAATCCATAATTACAAGAAAAGTCAATGTGAATGTTAAACAGGATTTGTGCTTTGTGAACAATTGCAGGTTTCCCACCAAGGGCTGAGAAACGATTATGTGGTTGGATGTTGAAATGAACACAAACAACAGTGCGAGGGTGAGAACGACTTTTGTGCTTCCATTAAGACAGTTCTAAAATTAACTGTGCTTACCGAGCTCAGAGGAGATGGATTCAGGCACAGCCACTTTCAAATTCTGTTGAACGAAAATAATAAATTAAAAAGGGCTTTCTGACAAAAGTTTTACATTTTCCCCCCCGCAAAACAACTAGGCCTACAAACACTACAATAACAAGGTAACAAAACAGCAGAGCTGTGGGAAAAGATATGCACTAGTTCCAAATGAACTACCCGTCCATCTAGCAGAAAGAGAACAAAATTTGCTTCGGGGAAGACGCGCACCCACTCACAAACACACACAGAGTTCAAGAACAAAAATATGTGATGGCCGTGGAGGTAAAAGGTTGTCTGAGAGCGTGTTTGCTTCCTGACCCTGAGGGTGCTGGGAAAGGAGTAACCCTTCACACACCTCTCAGGACAAAAGGCACGGTTGATGACCTAACCCCTAAATTTCAACATATGAAAATGATATTGAAATACATTTTTTTATTTTTTTCTATTGTTGTTTTTAAAAATATATTTTTGATTCTTTAAAAAGTGAAGTTCAAAAAAAATGTTTATTTTATATTTTCGTTGTAAATGATGACACTATGTACAAAAAAAAAAAGGGTCCCGCATTTTCATGTCACTACCGAAACAGTGTATGTTATAGTCCATTGGCTGAGACTGAAATTAACTACACCCCTACATTGATGATCAGGAAATATTTATGTGTCACTCTCTCTCATAGCTACAGGGTGAGTAGATAGGTCCCATCATTTTGAGGTAGATGTGCTCAAAAGCCTGAAAAATCTGTGTGCAACTCTAAGGAACGTCACTACCGAACACCTTTTTTTCCTGCAATTAAGCACACTTTTTTGGGAGTTATTCCATATCATTTAAATTTTATGTGTGTACAACTGTTCAAAACTGTGCTAGCTAACCATGTGTTGATTAACATCTTGGAGAGAAGTTCAAACAACATCCTGCCCAATGCTGTCCAGTGAAACAATGTTTATATTAAGGGCAATGAAAACAAATATAATGAATATAACCATGTAGGCTATATCATAGCTATATATTATGTGCAAAAAAAAATCACATTACATTCTAACATTGCAACATTACAATCTAAAAACAAAAATAATGCTCTTTAAAACAGAAGTTAAATTCACTAAAATAAACTAGTCAGAGCATCTGATGGGGCAAGTCGCTTTTAACTATACATGTTAACTATATCTTACCAGTTATTTTAAAGCCCTCAATATAAAACATCTCATGTTTAGGACAATATGGTTTATGCACTCTTCCCGAAGCAACTCACTCTGTGTCTTCCGCTATTTTACAGATGCGCTCGTATCAAACTACTGTATATCTATATAAACATTATTGCCTCATAACATATCGTTTATAAAAAACATATCGATATATCGTACAAACTCGATATACCGCCCAACCCTATTAAGCAGCACAACTGTTTTCAACATTGATAATGATTAAAACATTTTTTTTCAGTTTTTTGGTAGTATATCTTTATATCCATACCTACCTCTATATCTTTGCTCTCACATAGTGTTAATTTTGTCAGCTATTTTCATTTTAGTCTTAGTCCCGTGTTAAAATGTCCTTGTTAGTTTATCATATTTAGTCAGCCTTATCCTATTTAGTTTTGGTCAAGTTTTAGTCGACTAAAAGTCTCAACATTGTAGTCTAGTTTTAGTCCAAGAAAATCTAAAGTATTTTAGTCTAGTTTTAGTCAATGAAAACTTGAAATTTTAGCAATAAGATTATTATTAATTAACCTTACAGCAGTATTAATTTTGGCAGCCATTTTTAATTTAGTCTTAGTCTTACTCAAATGTTCATTTTAGTTATCATATTTAGACGAACCTGTTTTTGTTTATTCAATGAAATGTATGAGCATTTTAGTCAGGTTTTAGTCAATGAAATCTTAGTCACATTTTCATCATTCTGTATAATGGTTAAACAATGGTTAAACAAAATTATAATCGTAATGATTGTTGTCATTTGAGAAATTTAATTTTACATTTCACGCTAAACTCCAGCTTGTTTGTTGGTGTTTTCAGATCGTCAGCAGCGGCGCTTCCACAATGAGGAGCGAGCACGTGCGCATGGTTGCTAGATTGCTTAAAATAAGCAAAACACACCGGGCAGAAAATGTATCAATTTAACAGCGAAGCTCTGATTCGGGGATTAGAACTCTTGTTATTTGGCAACCGCACTCATGAAATCGTTCAGTCGCGCATGCGCAACATCCTATATGTTCTGTAGCCTACTAGAATTAGTCAAGTAGTTCACCTGTTTCGAGCCTTCGGGTTTATCGAGTCGTTCGTTCATCACGTGACAGCCCCATAAGCTTAACCAATGCAGTCTGAGCCGGAAAGAGAATTGATTAGTTCATCTCTCGAGTCTTCCGTTTTTTCGAGTCATTCGTTCATCACGTGACAGCCCCATAAGCTTAACCTATGCAGTCTGAGCCGGAAAGAGAATT